TTTAATTGTTTCTTTAATTCGTATTCACAACTTCAAAATGACACTAATGAAAATATAAGAAATTGACAAAGAAAGAAAAACAACTCCTATAAGGAATGGTATCGGGAATCTAGACATGTCATAAATTTCAGGAGAGGAATATGACACCGTCTATTTTCTGCGTGACGACTACTGACCACTGTAATTTTGTGAGCATGCCAGTAACTAAAAATAAAGAAAAGAAACACTAACCTCAAGATGGTAATGATTGCCAAGTAATCACTATGTCAAAATGAAAGCTGGAACATGTGACTTTCACAGAACATAATCCTAAGGAATGTGATCTAATAAATAAAGTATAGTAATATTTTGATGATGATGTTGGTAATAATCAAAGATAATTCGTAAGTTATTTTATCAAGTAGAATTTTCTTTCCTACAAGAAATATAATAACAAACTAAATTTTCCAAATGTATCAACTATCAAGTAGAATTTTCTTTCCTACAGAGCTGTCCTGTATGCTGGTGGTGTTCATGGACCCGTCTCGAAGAAATATAATAACAAACTAATTTCTCCAAAATGTTCTTAGACAGTTAAAATTTGTTATAAATTATTACGGGAAATAAAGTTGATTTAACAAATAAAATCATACATTATAAACCACACGTTAGTGATCGGATGATAATATAACTTTACATAGATCCTATAAACCCTAAGTTTAAATTCGTATATACATTCAGATTATCCAGTGCATAACCACAGAAGTAATCACATGGCCCTTCAGCCTTCGGTGGAGCAAGCACGATCTGCCTTCCAATGGCAGTTTTTTTATGTTTTGCATAAACGGTCTATGGACCTTTGGTTGTTTTACAATTCAGGCTAAACTCTGAAATTTTTTAAAAACATATTTTCAAACACACTCCAAATCTTTCAATCATGCGTTCTGCATCTTCCTCTTTATTTCACAATGATCTTTTCTTTTTTCTTCTAGGTTTTGCCACAAACTCTATAACTTGTATATATAATCTATACATTTCTCCCAAACTTCTATTTGTGCAATCTAAATCTATCAAATGCGAATGAACAAATATATACACTATATATGTGTTTTATAATGAATTAAATGAACTCTTTTTTTTTTTGGCTAAAACTAGGGGTGCTCAATCCGGATTTTGGTTTCTATTCGTGTTTTTAGGGTTCAGAATTTCAATTCATAAAAACTAGCAACCATATTATTACTATATCTAATTGGTTTGATTCGGTATGTATACTATCGATTTTCTATTTATACCAAAAACAGAACTATATTTACTTTTAACAACAAATTTTAGTTTATATAATTAGAAATCATGTTTATTAAAACATAATATATATATATATATATATATATATTTGTACTTATTTTTAAAATAAAAACTTTATATTTTATTTAACTATCAGAAATAAAAATAAAAAGAACAATATCATAATATTATTGAACTACTCTATTAATTCATGAATATTTTGGCAATAAAAATTAATTTATGTTTTATTTAATTTCATGAAAATTTGAAAAATAAATTATATTTTTAACTTATAATAAATTAAATAATAAATAAATCAATTTGAAAAATTATGAACCCTTCTAAAAAAATTATGAATCGTACAAAATTCAGAACTCTTCAGAAAAAATTGAATACTTAAATTATGTTTTAATAGGTTCGATTTTACCAGATTGAACATCAAGTCACATATTTAATTATGTAAGTGGACAGGAAATAGAAATATAAAGGATCATAATAAATATCCTTTTAGTATTTATTTTTTTGTTTCAAAAAGTATCATTCTACATTTTAGATACAATTGTTTACATATAATATTTTTTTATCGTTTCAAACAATCAATAAATTTTTAATTAAATCATTTTTCTTTAATTAGGGTTATATTAGTATATTAGTATGTTACTTTCTAAATCCACGTAAATGTAAATGTGTTGTTAGGGTTATCTTAGTATATTATTACGGTTGTATTAGTATATTACTACGTAATTAGGGTTATATTAGTATATTACTATGTTATTTAGAAACTTATGGAGGGAGTATAAGGGATTGTATGTCGTTACTTTTCATCTCTGTAAATTTTTTCCTTTCCATGCATAGGGATTGCTGTACAACTGTTATGATTATTGAGAGATAAAGCGTATCGACAAACGTACCAATGACCCAAGACAATGTAGTCACGTGAGGGAAAGCGTGTTACGTGGTCTTTTTATACTTGAACCCATCTCTAATTAAGGTATTAACTATTCAATTAATCGTTCGTGAGTAGTCACTAACGCCTGCAACACAGCTCATCATATTCCAAACTTGCTTAGAATCCCATAGCTTCTTTACATTATTTATTTATTTAGTTATCTTCATATGACACTATGATGTTTTGAAAAATCTCTCTTTCTACTTTATTCGTCTTCTTTAAGTTAAGAATAGTTGGATATCTTTATACTATAAAGAATCAAGATTCAACAATATCGAACGAATTTTTCTATCCATTACTATTATGCATGAGTGAAGGGAAGCTAAAAATAATAGCTAAAACAGATCACAGCAGTCGATTGATTAAGCGGTTCGACACTGTACAGCGCATAATATCGTGAGACCAAATCGTTATGCGTGAAACAAGGCCACGTGTTTTCTTTGCTGGCAGCTTCTGTTTTGAATTCGACAATAGTTGGATATTGACTTTCTTTTTCAGAAATATTATTTTTATGGTTAAAACGATTTTAGTTTCAACAGATTTCCGGCAGACAAAAGGTTTATTATTTCAAAATACTTGATTGACAGTTTGAGACAAACTTCTAATATATATATTATTCGGGTGGCAAGCATCTTATTTGAACTAATCATAAGTTTTTAATTCAAAATTTAAATGGATAAATGTGTATATATATAGGTAGACAGCAGACATATTAGATGATATGAAGTACCTAATGGACTTGATTATGATTATTATGTAAAGTCGAAGCTATATAAATCTTATTTTAATAGAGAAAATGATCTAAACAAGCAATCATACATGTTTATCCTTTGTATCTTAGGAGCGATAAATAGTTAGTAAGATGCTCTTTTCAATAGAAAGAAAGAAAATAAGTCGTTTTATCATTTTGCAATTTTAGTTAAACTGAAAATTAAACTGTTTTCCTTAACTTTTGGTCCGTGGAATTGGCGAATTACTATTTACATACCGTGGGGTACAAAACTTTGTTGGCTGGCTTGTCATTTTGTTTTTGTCAAACAGTTCGCTCGCTTCTCAAAACTTACGATTGCATGTAAGAACCATATCACTGAATGGATTTAATCATACTAAATCAACAATTTCATGTATTTTGGGTTTTTCGTAGGCTCGTAGCAGATGACAAAAACTATTACTCCATCTATTTCGCAAAGCCAATCATTTTGAATCTTCGATGCTTAGTATTTGAGAAAAAAATATCTACAAAATCGATGCATTATGCATTTTGGTTTTGGAGTACAGAGTACTAAACTAAGAGTAAATATAAACTGTGTTGAAATTGTAAAGTGATACTATAACAAACAAAAAATATATATTTAAAAAACATTTTTTGGTGGACTAAAGAGAATATTATTTTTATTCTTTATTTTTGTTTCTAATGTCATAAAATAGGGAATAAGGATAATTAAGCGGTGGAAAGAGACACTTCAAATTAAATATCTCTACTCTACTCAAATTGGATTAATTAAATGCTAATGAAGTACTTTGTCACCACTCTATAGTTCGGTTTTCCATTATTACTCCATTTAGTCACGTAACCATAATAATTAGAAATGTACTCAATCGTATTAAAAACAGGTTTTATACAACTACTCATCTCGATGTAATCACTAAGCAGTCAACGTAATTAAAAGAACACCAGTTGAAATTCTAGATGTAAAATGAACAAAAAGTTGAGAGGAAAACATCTTTAATGATGAATTGATGAGTATTTATGTACGTATCTTCCAGCGAAATCACAACATAATAAAGTGATTATCGTTGTCAAAAAAATAAAAAAAATAAAGTGATTACCAACATTAATCGTCTGTGCTTAGAAAATTTGTCACATTCAGCTTGGATTTATATAAAAAAGAAAAATTTAATACTCATATATTCCATGCTTTGTACTTTTTAGTGGTATATAGAGAGTATGCGCATGTAAATGATTACATAACACAGTACAGTAAAAAACCATTACGATATCAAACAACTATTTTTGAAAATGATTGAGATCAAGTATTTCTACATATATAAGCAGTAAACCAGATTGTGCACTATATTTTATATGCTGTCACAGTTACAAAACGTTCATGATAAGTGACACTAACAAAATAAGTTATCGTGATACATACATAAACACACCCCAGTTCAAGAAACGCTTTCAGCATTGAAGTCTTCAAAAATGTCAAAGCTTAGGTTTGTTTGCTTCGTAGTCTTTGTATTAATGGGAATGCAGTAGCAAGGAACCACATGTCATTGTTTGGCTATAAGAAATTTGAAAAGGCTAACGTAGACTAGGAGTAGTGCATACGGATTTAGAATTTCCCTATCTAATTTAATTTTAAATGGAAACAAAATTGAACTATCAGTGTTTATTACTTCCCTCCGTTTCATATTAATTGTCGTTGTAGATAATTTTTTGCGTTACAAAATAAGTGTCGTTTTCGGTTTTCAATGCAAAATTTCTTAATTTTATTATGTAATTTGTTTTTCTATTGGTTAAAATATGGTTAGTTGTAAGGGTAACTGTATTTTTATATATGAAATATGTAAAATTAATTGTTTTCTTAATCAGTGTGCACAACCGTAGAATGACACTTATAATAAAACAGAGGGAGTAAATACTAAGGAGGAGGAGGAAGGAGGGTGGAATAAAAAAAAGTGAAAAGTAAGGAGAGAAAAAAGGTATGGAATAGTTTAAAAAGGAGAGAGAGTGTGTGCTAAGTTTTAGGCTTTTGAAGTGACACCGAAGGCACAGATAGATTACTTTCACCAATCACCATCAACATCACCATAGCCCAGCCACCACTCTTCTCTCTCTCTAGAAACAGAGCTGATTCTGTTTTTTTTTTCTTTCAATCAAACTGTTGTGTTTACTGATATTGGATGATTCACTAGCTCATTCTGTTTCACTGCTGCATTTTTTAATTATTCCGGTGAGTGATAGTTTCTCCCTGCTCTCTTTACTTGTAATCGTTTTTTTTTGTGTGATTGCTTAGCTTTGATTTCGAAATAGGAAAGTATAATAATAAAGCTCTTGTTTCTCTACTAGTAATCATCAAAGAGCTAATTAATTATTAGGAGTTGGTGAAGTTTTAGTTTTCAGATTTGGTGATATATGCTTTCTTTTTTTATGTAACGTTGCGCGATTATGCTATTCTGCCATTTGTTCGTTAGTTTTTGGCATTTAATCTGTAATGGCGTTTTGTCGCGATTCCACCTTGAAATCGTGTTTTTGGAGCTATTCCTTTTTATCACTTTCGTCTTCTTCTTCTTTGTTTCTGTCTCATTTACAAGTGTTCAACCTTTTGGATTCGAGTTTCTTGTTTAGTCTCTCTGCTCTTGGATCTCTGATTTTGACTTGACTACTTGTTCTGACTTTTCATAATTAGTAATACTTGCAAATATTACTAATTATCTGAGAAGTGTTTTGTTTTTTGTGTAGATGGATCGTAAAAGTTGGCCATGGAAGAAGAAAACACCTACAGCCACGGAAGTTCATGACCAACAGGTACTTAACTTCATCTCTTTTTTTTTTTTTTTTTTGTCAACTACTTAACTTCATCTCAGATTTGCTTCTTTAGTTTCTAAGATTTGAGTTTTGACTCATTTAAAAATAAAAATAAAATTTGAGTTTGGATTCCTTTAAAAATAAAAATAAAAACAGGAAAATGGGAAGAAGCCTAGCTATATACAAATCTCCTTTGATCAATACTCTCATCTCAATACCTTAAAGGACCAAGTTCACAACTACCAGGAACAAGTTCTCAAACTAGAAGATAACATCAAAGATTTGGATTCAAAGCTATCCACAGCTAATGCAGATATAACAGCCAAGGAAGCTTTGGTCAAACAACACTCCAAAGTCGCTGAAGAAGCTGTCACAGGCTGGGAGAAAGCAGAAGCAGAAGCTTCTTCTTTAAAAACTCATCTCGAAACCGTTACTCTCGCCAAGCTCACTGCTGAAGACAGGGCTGAGCATTTAGATGGAGCGCTAAAAGAGTGTATGAGACAGATAAGGAGTCTCAAGGAAGAAAACGAACAGAAGCTGAATGATGTTACTGTAAGCAAGACCAACGAGATGGAGAGGCTTAAGGATGAGTTTGAGTTCAGGATTAGGGAGTTTGAGGAGGAGTTACTTCGGTCAGCAGCTGAAAACGACGCACTATCCAGGTCGTTGCAGGAAAGGTCAAACGTGGTTGTGAGGATAAGTGAAGAGAAGTCACGAGCAGAGTCTGAGACTGAGCATCTTAAGAGCAACATAGAGTCTTGTGAGAGGGAGATCAACACTTTGAAGTATGAAACTCATGTGATTGTTAAAGAGTTGGAGATACGTAACGAGGAGAAGAATATGAGTATGAGATCTGCTGAAGCAGCGAACAAGCAGTGTTTGGAAGGTGTTAAGAAAATTGCAAAGCTGGAAGCTGAGTGCCAGAGACTACGGAGTCTAGTGAGGAAGAAACTTCCTGGTCCTGCTGCACTTGCGCAGATGAAAATGGAGGTTGAGAGTTTGGGGAGAGGAGACTATGGAGATTATAGACAGAGAAGGTCACCGGGTAGACCGTCTAGTCCTCTCATGTCTCCTATGTCACACATGGGTTCCGAGTTCTCGTTTGATAATAATATGCAGAAGTTTCATAGAGAAAATGATTTGTTGACAGAGCGGTTACTTGCCATGGAAGAAGAGACGAAGATGTTGAAAGAAGCATTGGCGAAGCGTAATAGTGAGCTTCAAGTTTCGAGGAACGTCTGTGCTAAGACAGCAAATAGGCTTCAAACATTGGAAGCTCAGATGATGAGTAAAACTCTTAGTATGGCTTCAATGTCTGAGGACGGAAACGAAGATGTTAGAAGTATTGCTGGGTCTTTGATGTCTGGACTCTCTCAAACCAACAAGGATAAAAACAGTGCGAAGATTAAGAAGACTGAGAGTGCTAACCAGTTGGAGCTTATGGACGACTTTCTAGAAATGGAAAAGCTAGCTTGTCTACCAAATGGTGAGAACACAAATGGTCACTTGAGTACAGATTCTGACGCTGAGATTCTACCAGCGACGCAGCTTAAGAAAAGAATTACTACTTTGCTTCAATCTCTCCCCAAAGATGCTGCGTTGGAGAAGGTTTTGGCAGAGATACAATGTGCCATTGAAGATGCAGGTGGTGTTAAGCTGCCTTGTGAATGTCATGGACCTAATGTAAACGGTCATACAGAAGAAAAGGAGATAGCTATGTCAGATGAGACCATGGAGGATAAAGTTAATCAAGAATTGGCTCATGCTTTTTCTCATATTCACCAATTTTTTACCTACCTTTCGAAAGAAGCAACCCCGAGTCATGATACATTCTCCCAAAAGGTTCAAGAGTTCTGTGTCACATATGACAGAGTCTTGTCCAAGGAGAAAACTCTGGTCGACTTTGTGTTTGATCTCTCTCGAGTTTTAGCCGAAGCTAGTGAACTGAAAATTAACGTGATGAGATTTAACGCATCTGAAGCTGAGATTCACAGCCCTGATTGCATTGATAAAGTGGCTCTACCGGAAAACAAAGCACTTCTCCAGAAAGATTCATCAGGTGAACATTACCAGAATGGTTGTTGTAAGAGCTCTGATTCCGAGATTCAAGATGATTGCATTGTAACATCTGGCTATGAACCTAAGCTCCCTTGTAAATTTACATCAGAAGAGTTTGAAGAACTGAAGCTCGAGAAAGAAAAAGCAGAGACCAAACTTGCAAGCTGTGAAGCAGATCTTGAAGCAACCAAGTCAAAACTACAAGAAACGGAGCAACTTCTTGCTGAAGTCAAATCAGATTTGGAATCTACTCAAAAGTCTAATGACATGGCCGAGACACAGCTCAAGTGCATGGTTGAATCATACAGATCTCTCGAAACTAGATCAGCAGAGCTTGAAGTCGAGTTAAGTTCTCTTAAAGGCAAGCTCGGAAACTTAGAAGATGAGCTTCAGGACGAAAAGGAAAATCACCGTGAGGCTTTAACCAAATGTCAAGAACTCGAGGAGCAATTACAAAGGTATATTAAAACCAAATCTTATATTACTCTCTATTGTTTTTTTCATTACAAGAGTCTTTTAACTTATCTTTCGCACAAAACTTCAGAAACAACCAAAACTGTCAGACGTGTTCAGTAACTGAAGCTGATCCCAAAAGCAAACAGGACAATGAATTAGCAGCTGCTGCGGAGAAGCTACAAGAGTGTCAAGAGACTATATTGCTTCTTGGGAAGCAACTTAAGTCTATATGTCCTCAAACAGAACAGGTTGCTTCTTCTCCAAGACAAGAACAAACCCTAAACCTAAAAGAAGACAACGAGAGCGCTAATTCTACTAATTCTCAAGACAGCAGGTTGAGTTCGGCTTCAGATAAAGAAGCACCATCGATGACTACAATGAGATCTCCGGTTGGACCGAAACATAGACACACCAAGTCAAACGCATCCTCGTCCTCGTTTGGGTTTACCCCTCAGAAACACTCTAGAGGATTCAGCAGGTTCTTCTCCTCTAAAGCAAAGTAAACAAACAGACAAAGTACAAATCTAACTATGTTTGTATGTCATACCTATTGCTATATATACGGGTATTTTACTATGTGGATTAACGCTTTTTTAATTATAAATATTTTTTTGTTTTTCTTTCTGTACTGACAACAATTTGGTGTTGAATTCTACGGCGAGTGAATATTAATCTAACCACTATTTTTCATTTTTCTACAAAAGGTTTCTTGAAAAGTATACATTATTTAGATTAAACAATCCACATCTTTGAAATCACAAATTTTCTTTTGTAACATAAGATTGGTTACTACTCATGGGCCTATGAAGTCTCAGTTTCCAATTTAGCCCAGCCCACTTAATTCATCTTATGGGCTACTTCTTCTATGACGTTCTTTTTTAACAACTACTTCTATGACGCATATCAATCACATCACAAATTTATATTTAGAGGAAATTTATAGAAATAATTAAAAAGATGTATTTGACATTTTCCGTAAATCACATGAAAGAGAGTAATAAAGTAGACTAATAGTCTAGTAGTGTAGACTTATTTCAAATATTAAAGGGCCAAGTAAACTGACAAATTAAAATCCGAAATCGTATTTAATCGTAATTAGTTATTTCTGAAGTTTGACAATTGTTGTCAAGTCAGTGTCATCGAAGACAGCTAATATTAAGATTTGGGTTGTCTTACCATAATTAGCCCTACATACAAATATTTTGCGTTGTTAATTATGATTTGTTCAACCATATGTAGTAAAAGATTTTAACTATGATAGATGTACTACGGAATGCATGTGGCGTTTGTGGATAGTGGATACCTTTGTCGTTAATTTCTGTTTTGTCAACCTTTTGGTTTCACATCCATCCATCAAAAACCATATGCGTTGTCAACTTACTAGTCGTTACGTTTTATGAAGAAAACGGCCAAGTCACTGAAAGCAATCAAATACTTTTATCATTTATGTATTAGTCGACGTACGTGTAAACATAACACTTTCGCAGGCAGCAAGTACTAGTATTTATCTACATGAATACACATCAACATAACCGTATAACCTTTTTTTTGTAAAAGAACCGTATAACCTTGAACAAAATCAGGCAAAATTATTGCCTGATTACAAATCAAATAATGTTTCCGCTAATGCACATTCAATGGTTCTCCAGTGTTTTCAACACTAATTATGGTTGATACACATTCATGGCAATCACTATAGACCGCCTTTACGGGAGGAAAAAGTATGCGTTGACTTGAGTTTGTGTTTTAAATCATTACAAACATGAGGGAGACTTTGCATCTTATGGAAAATCATATACATTTCCTTTTGATAAACGGAATATATCACAATTATTGTCCAACTCTTTATAATGTATGTTAATGTTGCTCTAGAAAAAATCATAACGTGAACGAACAGCAGCTTTTTTATTAATCGATTACAACTTTTTTAGCAACAAAAAAATCGAAACTAAAATGGCCTACCAGAATTCTGAAAAAAAAAAACTTATAACGAAATAGAATAAAACAATTTCGCTTGTTATTACTTTTAAAGAAACGAGGGGGATACATCCTTGATTTACAGCTCTGTATGTCAGGCCTTTATAATTTGTCAATATATATATCAGGTTTCTTTTGTTGCTTTTGTTAATTGTTTAATTAGTCCAAACAAGTACATTACATTTTAATCATGATGCAATTCTACACATGTTTTTGAAAACGTTGAAATCTTTTTTGATCCAACCTCAATTATTGTACTGATGGCTTTCCTTTTTATGTATTACCAAACTACCCAGTGGAACTTGTGACTACAATTTCTTGAAGCCTTGAGGAGATGCAAATCCTATGGGGATGGATTGGCAAAAGAAGCTAAATCTAAACTCCTACGTTATGGAACAATTAAAGTCAGCCTGGCTTGTTTTTCTCTTCCAACAGAAAGATAAAATAAATTGATCTATTTTCTTTCAGTCAAACAATAAAAAGATGATTAAACAATAATAAGGTATTTTCACCTACGGAAATGAGAGTTCTTAAACATGATTAATGGGAGGTTTTAATGATGAAATTCTCATCGAAATATAAGAAACTGTTTATTAACTTATAACTAAAAAAACTAAAAACTGTTTTTTAAATAAGATATTTAATAACCGATTCTTAGTTTTTTAGTTAAAAGTTAAAAGATTTTTTTTTAATATTTTTCTAAAAACCCTATCATTAAAATGTCCCATTGATCATGCTCTTATGGAGTAGCTGTAAGGTTTTAAGGAAACTGGACCGTCCGTTAAGTACCGTACGGACGGAGAAGAGGGAGGGCATTAGTTAGGTGAAAAGTTAATGAAGGCGCATGCGATATGTTCAAAGTTTACGTTAAAATCTAAGCCGTCAAAAACTTTAAAAAATGTGTGCCATTCTTGGTAGTAGTTGATAGTATAGTTTCATAACTCCCAAGACCAATTGTAGGGATCTATTTTTATCAGATTTTCAGTGTGGGTACCACTTGCATGTGCTATCTCTCAGACACTGAAATGACATCTCCAATACATATATGTATATTAAAATACTAATTTTTGTTTTTGGTCGTCCCTGATGTCAATTTCTAAACTGGACCTACTTTACAAGAAATATATACACTTCACTATCATTGTTTCCTTTTGTAATAAATGTGTTTTTGAATTTACAGTGTGTAGTCGGTGATAGTAACTGTAATCATATATGTGAGTAGTTAGAAGTTACAGAAGATCGACGACTCGTCCTATATTTATTTAAGAGAAAAACAGATTAGCTAATGCTATATCATTATTCTAATTTGATTTTTCTCTCGATTAGTAAGGTAGAATCGGATGGCTGAAGACTTTGATATGTATTTCGAACTTTGAAGATTTGTATTCTTTTAGTGGCAGTAAATCGTTTTCACCTTTTTAACCAACTAAACGCGAATATCGCCATACAACGCATGATTTGCTTAATAATGAATATGTTATATCTCCTGCTACTGCATGGTGCTACGCAGTACGCACAATGTATTTATCACTGTGAAGATTCTTGTAAGACAAATCATTTACTGATCACATCACTATGAGAAGAGCTTTTTTAGACTATTTGCTTAAATCTTCCCAACAAAAATCCAAGATAATAACTAAACAATGGGTTTATTGATTCACTCTTACTAGAGTTAGTCTCGTTCTAATAGAAACACTAACCCAATTTACCCCAGAATAGCTAAAAGTTAAAAGCTGATTAACAAAGCTTATTCCTCAAACAAGACTAATTCAAAACCAAAAAAACAAAAACCCTAGATTATCTGTTGATCAGTGCATGGTTGCGACGAGAGATCTGAAAGCTACTTCGTCACATGGAATAGTGAGGCCCATGCCGTGATCGAAGCCAAACTCTTCCTCAGCTTGTTGTAAAAGAATCTGAAACTCGGGTCGGGTCAAAAATGAAATGGGCAATACGTACCTGACCCGAGTCTTCCCTACGTAGACCACGAAATGACCTTTGGGCACATCTAGAGGAAGAGATTCTCCATCCATTTCCTGTTCGTCGTTATATTCACTGCTCTGTTTCTTCCCCAAACTTGAGCATCTCTTTAAGATTTGCTTTATCATAGCCGTTTGTGTTAGCTTGGTAGTCCGGATTTTAATCGCCATCGAAATGATTTTTATTTGCTTCTGAAAGTACTCTCGAGATTTCTTTGTTTTGTGTTTGAAGATGCTCTATCTTCTTTGTTGTGAGTTGCTTTAGGGGTGTGGGGAGAGTGAAGAAGGGTTTGTTGAGACTTTCACAATTCATTCAAAAAAGAAGAAGAAGGGTTTGTTGAGTTGGGTGTTTGTGGTATCTATTGATGGTTTCCATTAAATATATAGAGAGAGATGCATACATGTACATATATGGGTCAATTCATTTTCCTACATTTTCCTACAAGTGGAAGAGTATTTTTCATGTACATATATGAGTATTTTTCACTACGTAACTGCTACCATGTACATATATGCATACAAGTTAATCACCATTAGTGACAGTATCGAACATGGTTAATTCTTACCATCAAAATAACTGAATTTAATCAAAAGTACAAGAGAGATCGAAGAAAGTTAATAAGTTTTTAAAAGAACTTCTTTTTTGAAGAACATAAAATAGCTATCTAAGAGCATGATTATCGCTAGAGCCAAAAAAAAAAGTGCTTAAAATTTTTTATTTTTTATTTTATTTTTTTTTCTGGTTAAAAAAAAAAAAATTAAAGTGTAACCAATCGCGGGCCGCCACGTGTCGTAGGGCCCGCGAAAAAGTCCAAGCACCCAGCAAAATCGAACGCTTATTGTGGCATTAGAAACGTTGAGTTTTATCTTTTTGTGGGACCCTCCTCTTATTTTTTGTGTTAAGCGTCGAGTTTTATCCCGCGATGCATGTGCTCTAACCAAATGTTAATATTTTAATATTTTAAAGGGATTCATTATGATGTCTACCATTGGTGATGGTCTAACAAATGAGAAAGCAACTCTTAGTTTCATATATGGCTGAGCTTGGGAAAGATAGCATATATAAATGTTATTATTTGATAAAAAAAATATAAATGTTATTATATGACTTTTGTGAATGAAGATCAATAATGGCAGTAGTCGTACTAGAGTATGTATCTGACCTTCGAACTAGACTCGAAAATGCAAATGTCTCTAATTTTCGTGTCGTGTCACACAATAAAACTGCTCTAAATACTTATTAGGTGTCCACATATATACTGAACACACATTTTTGATAACCAACTAAGTTTAATGTTGAATAATATAGCTGCAAAGTGAGACCCACGCACGATTACATATAAGAAACTTAAAACCATAAATATAATATCTAGTTTGTTTGCATCACTGCATGTCTACAATACAGTACAATACGGAACAAACAAAACCTGAGGTACATAGTTTCCTAGATTAAACGAATAACTAATGATAGGAATCTGCTCAGCTAATATATCTAACATTAGTTTTGAAAGTAACTAACTATCCAGAGATGCACAAATAACGATAACTGTGACGTGTTTGGTTTGTAAGTATTTTCAGTTTCAACATTTATAAAGACTAATTGATGATTAATTCGTAATCAAAACGGTGGCATATCGATGAGATCGTATACAATTTAATGCAAACGCAAAGGGTTATTAAGGACAGTACTCTAACCAGTTTGGAATTCCTCAGTTAATGTCCCTGCCACGATGCACATGCACGTCCCAAAACCCATCTCGTTTATTTCTACTAGTATCTCTTTATTTATTGTGTTCGGAAAATGAGAGAATCATGTCAAATCCTTTTTGTCAAAATTAATAGCCGTCATACAATTTTTTCTTCGTCAATTTTCACCATTAGAAAAGAAGAAATAGATCGATGTTACAGAACTCGATCGGCCAAAAAGACGATTAATTACTGAGCCCCATTACTTCATGCTGAGCCATTACTTCTTTACTTAATCAAACACGATGCGATGACTCTCGGTGTGATCAGATAATCAGTGGGTGCTTTCAAAAAAAAGGAGCCTATCGGTTTGCTCTGAGACTTGCATTGTCCTTAGCTCAGCTACGAACAACTAACAGTTGCCAATAGAATGAAAGAAAGTTTAGCTCGTAACATTTGTTACAAAAAAAGAGCGAACAGTAATTGGGTCGTAAAGCCCAGGAAGTATTAAAATTAAAGCGTGGGCTGAAGCCATCTAAGTCTAGCCTATTTGTATATAACACATATAAAGCGTATGAATAATTACGTGTGCGTCACCGATTTCGAAAGTAAGATGTTAGATATATCAATGATATATTGATCTGTACAGTGTACTGTGAAAAGAGAAATGGTGGTGGTCATGTGACAGTGAGTGTTTTGTAACCTTTGCGGAGACAACAACGTTATCTTTTCTTCAGCCGGTCTGATCTTTAAAGGTACACTCTCTGTATCGCCTCTCTTCGTTTTATGTATTCACTATTTACCCTACTCTACACTACAAACCAAAACATATTACTTCTCCTACACCAAAGTTATTCTATGAAATTAAGCACTCGATTTTGATTAACTATGTATATTATAAAAATAGGTGTCATACTTATACGTATGCGCACCTATAGAGGAAGCATTAGATAATGTCATAGCATGGGCATGGTATGGGCAGATGGGGTCCGCGGGCTGAAGAAGGCCCATAAAGGTAAGAGAAGAGGAGAGGACCACGTGGCAGGGGTTAGCCAGTTCTACAAGTGGAGTGGATACTAAGAAGTATGAAAGTAGGAATGCGTTTGAATCTCGTGATATCGCACTGTTTCTACTATTGGCAATGCAGTGTTGCTTTCATCTAGGGTTTCAGAACTAGACTTCTTCTTTCTTTTCTTTTTTGTTTCCACTTTACTTCTCTCACCTACACCACTTATGTTCCCCTGGCTTCTATAATATCTTTGGGTAATGTCGTATAAGCTAGTTAAGGAATTACATTTTCTTAATATTTAATTCGTATTTTAATCTAACCAATAGTTCCTAGTGATTCTTCTTCCCCCAGCATAAGTACTGGATTCGAAGTTTGGATCTGGTAGAATCAATAAATAGCAATATATATGTAGACTTTGGCAAAACATCTTTGAGAGTAAAAAGAAAATTGAAGTATATGTTTTTGTACTAGAATATAAAATTTTAACCTTTTCATCTAATATGAATATTTAAAGGACTTTGAGGTCAATTTTTGCGCTTATTAGAATATATATGTATATACACATAAAGTTTTACCTTTTTTTAGGGCCAATATATAAAATTTTCATTTATATCTTGACTTTAGCAAGAAGCTTTGAGTCACCTCCTTCCTTTATTCAACAAGACAAAAAGCCATTCGTGGCGGAAAGAGCATAACTATCACTTAGCTTTAAGGTAAAAAAACTGATGGTCACAGAGGAAAGTGGAAGCTTAAAAGTTAAAACTTATGTTAATTTTAACAAATTTACATATATTTGCTTCTTCTAATTATATTATACGGGTGAGCTTTATTACGTATCTCTCTCAATCTTCTTGTTAAACTAATTGTTTTTTTGCTTATATAACACATTTCATAAATTACCATTTTACTGTTTCATATATAGTGTTATCAACTTATTATGGGCACTTATCAAAACTTATTAGCATCACTGTTACAGAAAAAAAAACTATTGGAGTTTTGTTATGGCAGATTAAAATTTAAAATCTGTAAATCCGAATTTTTATTGGTTTGGAAGAGTTGTTTAGGGTTTTGTTAGTTGATATTCATTAACCATTTACATATTTTTCAAGTAGGTTTGTATTTATTATTAGGGGAGACATATGAACAAAAAAGTAACTAGGATTGGATCCCAATATATAATCGAATGATTACTCTAAAGAAGTTAATTAAAAATGATGTGTAATAATGTTCCGCAAAAAAAATAAAAATATATTTAGGGTATGATAGGTTAGTTTGTCCATGATATATATATAAAGTGAGTGTTACATATTAATATTTTGTGATATTTATTGTGATGGGGATTCATTGAAACTGAAAGACAACCGTAGAGAAAGTGCTCCATAGTACTCTCTATCTCTTAACTCTCCTCTCTCTCTCTCCACAGAGAAAACCAACAGTAGCAGTAAATTGCTTGAGTTCTTGATGAGAGAGACAGAGAGATCAATTAGTATAATGTCTTAAATGATCTCAGAAAATAAATAAACATTGGCGGCGTTTGCAGCAATTTCTTAAATTTCCTCACCATCATTACTCTCTCTCATCCGCTCCAAAATCTGCTCCTTAAATTAATGAGCTAGGCAGCAGAAGAAAATAGAGAAGGTAACTCAAATCCCCAAAAGTAATTTATTCAAAAACCTCAAAACAGTCTCATAAATATCCTCTCATTTAGTTGATGTGTGTGTGGTTGTGATGTGGAAGTAGAAGGAATGGCTGGATTCTATCTAGGAGGGAGAGATAACAGCAAACAAGATCATCATCATTATCATCATCATATGGACAAGGATCATAATGAAGACAAGAGGGACAGTTATTTATACAAAGACGAGATCTACAACAACAACAACAATAGAGGTTTTGAGATTTGGCCACCTCAATATTTTCAACAACAACAACAAAACCACGTGGCTCCTCCTACAAATCTCCTCTCCTTTGGTATGGTCCCAAGCGGTGGCAGCAATAACGAAGACCGGAGTAGTAATCGGAGTTTGTACTTTAACGTAGACCATGAGCCGGTTAGAACCTCTACGGGAAGGTTTACGGTAACAAGGCAAGGAAACATGAATTGCCAAGACTGTGGGAATCAAGCCAAGAAAGCTTGTCCTCATATGAGATGTCGTACTTGTTGTAAGAGCCGAGGGTTTGATTGCCAAACCCACGTGAAGAGCACGTGGGTCCCGGCTGCTAAACGTCGTGAGAGACAGGCTCAGTTAGCTGCTTTGCCAGCTAAGCGGAGTCGAGAGGCTAGCTCAGGCAGTGGTGATGATGAAGATGGAGGTCAAGGCGGTGGTGGTGGTTCGGCTCTTGCTTGCATCCGTGTTGTTAACGCTAGCGCTTCAGGTATAACGGGGTTTAATTAACTATTAAACTTACAAATTAATGACCGACTTCAGTAGAATATTTTAAAATCCAAATTTTGTTGGGGTCACAATAAGATATGATTTTGATTTTTTGGGGTCAAATGTCACTTGAGTGTTAATGGATTATGTCCACCGGATTTTGCTGCTTATTTATTTTTCTTTAGCTGTTTGATTTTGATCGATGATTATTATTTTCCCAGTCATGTCTACTGTTCTTTGGTAAACATGACGACACAATAGGGGTTGTTAATCCATTTCATGAAACTATACCTAAACCCGCTATCAAAGCTTTAATTTGTACTTTACAGTTGAGTTGAAAGATAAACTTTATATTAAAATAGACAAATTGCTTTGTCCAGAAAAAAAAGAAGACAAATTTTGGGTTTTATTTTGTGCTATTATATTCCATTTATTAATCAAAATTAAAACCTTTCTGTGAAATAAAGAAGAAAATAAAGAAAGACTGATGTCTCTTTATAAGATTTAGTTAAAAAAAAAGATATTATTCTTTAAATAAAATTTTCTTATTCGATTACATGAATCAAGAACTTTATGAGAAGCTATACGTTTAGTTTGCTTGGGTTTTATTGTAATGATTTATTTTAATGAAATTAGGGTTAGAGAGTAGTCACTTACCGCCGGAGATAAGTTCACCAGCTGTATTCCGGTGTATGAGAGTCAGCTCGATCGACGATGAGGACGAAGAATACGCATATCAAACGGCTGTGAACATCGGTGGACACATGTTCAAAGGCATTCTCTACGACCAAGGTCCATCAGATAACCCCTACAGCTCAAGCCCTGCCGCCACAGAAGCCTCTCAACACCATATTAACCTCTTGGTCTCAACCGCTTTAGCCACCACCACTACAACCGCCATGACTGCGATTAATAATAATAACGCATCGATTGATCCCTTCAGCTCTTATATCACCACCGGTACCCCCTTCTTTCCACCTCCTAGGTCTCGAGACTGATATTTTAAATCTTTCAAAAACGTTTTTGATCTCTTAGAATTATCAGAGATTCGGGGTACAACGAGTAAGAAAAAAATGATTATTTTGAGATTTTTGTTGTTGTCGGACAATATGGTAGTAAATTTCGTACCTAGCTAGGGTTTATGCTGATTAACATGCAAGTGGTATGTTTATTAGAGATAAAGGAGAGATTATTATTTTAGAAATTGGAGAAAGGAGAGATAATGTCAGAGTTTTATGTTGGATCTTCTGCTTGTTCTTTTGAATGTTTTGTCTTCCCAATGTGATCGCCATAACTAATTTATCTTTTTTTTTCTTATTAACATCAACAATCTTTAATAATGTAGTATATATTTTATTTTTTTATATATTAAAGTTAGGTCTTCTGTATAAAATAGGGATTCGATAATGATTATCTTTCTTGCTGGTGATGAACTCGAAGCCTTTTTCCAGTTTATCCGTTTGTTTGCCGGATCTAAACAGGGACTTGACTAGGTTTCGTGTTCAGTTGAGCAAACAATTTCAAATCTATGTATATAGAAGTCCCTTTTATGCTACCCAATCCAGCTTCTGAAGTGTAAAACAGTAGAAACCAACATTAGTTCACAAACCCTACTCGACTAATATATTTATGCAATATTATTTTTATTCCAAAGAAAAGTCTGTGGGTGAAGTAAATTATGTAAACCAAGTCATATCGTTTTTTAAATTATAAAAAACGAAAGCTTACCTTTGAAATTTCAGTGCTTCAGAAAAAAAACTTTGACATTTTTAATCAAGTTTTGTTTTTTTTGCTGAACAAACTGAAACAAGTTCATTCAAATAAAAAAAAGAAACAAAAAACTTTCTTCCAGTAATCTGATAAATACTAATTGTCGAAGAGTTTTTGTTGACTGGTTCCCTTATCGCGAACCAACTCGTCTTTCTCACATGGAAATGACGACTTTTGTGGAAGATGACCTTACTGTTAATTATTGCGAAGAAAAATACATCAAAACTATTCATGAGGACAATACATTACATGTGAAAAACTGTTGTAGACGAAGGTAAACGCAGAGTATACATTTACAAAAAACAAAAAAACAAAAACGCAGATTATTTTGTGTATTTGACTATTACTTGCATGTATGTAACTATTAACTTTCACATTTTTCTTCACATTGTTAACATTTTACCAAAAAAAAAAAAAAACTTTCACATTTTTCTTCTATTTAATTTTGAATGTTTGCGTTTACCTTCATCTACAAGTCTATGCAGCTTTATATGAATGGTTAGCCTATGCTTCAATAGGTAACTAGAAAAGGTGAATTTACTCAGAAATTGATGTCGCTAGTCATATTATTCAGCCAAATCTTCAATTTGAAAACTGAATTGATATGTGCTACTAAAAGTTTTATAGTTTTTTCCCCCCAACTATATTATATATGTGCATGTTTTATTTTATAAGTATATTTGTTAATGTTAATCATTAAGCATCATTAACAGAGTTTTGTCAAAGTCTGACAGTTACTTTGAATTATTAGCGAGTATGTAAATAACTTACAAAATCTTATATATTAAAAGAGAAGTCATGACTTCACTTCATGTGTGATATTTTAAAATGAACCATCTAATAGAATTTATGACATTATATTATTCAATCATTAATAACATTTATTAGATTCACCAATAACATTTATTGGGCTTAATAGAAATTTTTATTGGGCTAATAAAAATTAAATGATCCATTATATTTATAGATATTATAATATAATACATATTTATATTAAACTTATATAATTTAATATTGTAACAGTAAAAGTTAATTATTTCTATATTTTTGATGTTAACTTTAAATTATATAGTTTATTTTTTAAAATAACAAAATCATCATTTTTTAACAATAATTAATCTATACTATATAATAATTAATCATCATTTTCGATATACATACCTTATATAATATATATCAATTTAGAAGTAAAAAAATGTTTATATAAAAATAAATGAAAACAAATAACCGCGCGGTTGCGCGGGTTGAGATCTAGTTAGTTTTAAAATAAAATAAATGAAGATGAGTCAAGAATTAAACATGGTCAAAGTTTTAAAAACCCACAAGTTTTCAAACATAGATTTTATATTATGCATATGCATCCCACACAACATTTGTATAACAATTCGACTATGACAGACATGACATTTTATTTATGATATCCCACACAACATTTGTATAACAATCACTCTCTACAAAACGTCAAATTTCGCGCGTTTTTAGGTATTTAGAAAGCAGTGTGGGACGTTTTCCTTGGCGGGCTGACGGGTTTTTCTGGTTTAAGATAATGATGGGCCTAAGATACTGTTGTTAAAAGGCCTATTTGCTAAAACAAAACTCATCTAGGCAATATAAAATCTTGCTTGAAACCAAATTATTCTCAGAAGAATTTATGAAACGATTCAGAGAAATCTGATATGGCTTTTTATATCAGTAAAGGTTCTGAACACTCCGTACCAACTTATTTACATTTTTGTTTTGTGTGCATGAAATAAGTAACATAGTAAAAGTCTTAGAAACTTCTCACATCTATCAAATTCTTTCAATGAGTTGAAAACATACAATTCCTATTTTCACTAGTTGAAAGCATCCTTTTGATGATATTTGTGTTTTGTTTTTGTTGTTGTTGGAAAACCTACATTCATAGTCTAAATAGATGCCTTTTACATTTTTATATATGAATTATAATTCTCCTATTTAAAATATAAGATATTAAGAGTTTTTCTTATTTCAAAGTATAAGATATAAACGTTAAAATTTCAAAATGATAAAAGTCTAACGCAGTTTATTTCATGACTTCAATTATTTAAAAGCCTATATTAAACAATATCTAAGTATATTTGTAAAGGAAAAAATAAAGTTCACAATATGAATTTTAGTGGTGCTGATCAGTGACAAAAAAAAGAAGAAGTGGTGCTGATCCGTCGTCGATGGTCCAACAATGTATGTGGCAATGAATACGTCAATTGTTTGTATTACACGAGGGTTTAATGAAGCAGGACGAACTTTTGGGTTACATAGACCCGCAAGACGAAGCTAAGTACCGGATTAGTCTCCTTTCACGGCTAATGTTGCTTCATGTCTACTTCAGTATCTATGCTTTAATGGTTGAGAAAATAAACAGAGAAAGAATTTCTGTTAAATCAAGGTTTCTAGGCAATAAGCAAAGTTGCTTGTTCAGCAGGCTGATTATATATATAGAGCATGGAACATTGACACATATAGGTCTGAAAGCAAAGGTTTCAGTTGATTTTTATGTCTATAAGATAAGAAGAAACTTGCAGTGGGATTAAAGATTTTAATCTAGTACTTGTAAAGTTCTTTGTTGAATCTAATACTATTGGATTGTGTGAAATATTGGTGTTTGTGACATTGGATGCTGTAATGGAGGTTCGAAAGTGAAAAGGAAAAAGAAGTATGAAAAAAAACTAAAAAAGAAATCAACTAAGTTGTGACATGAAGAGTGTAATGTTTGGTCCTGAATGTTAGAACACTACAAGAAAACGTAATATATTTTGACCAAATTCCTAACCACGTAAATTGGTTAGAATATTTTTGACCATAAATTAACCATTTTATGATGATTAAACGAAATGGACAAAAGGTGGTCACAAATTACAGTCGAACCAAATTGGTTACAAAATGGTCAGTAATTTGTGACTAAGTTTTGACTACTTCAATGTCTTCGAAGAAAGGGGACTCATCGACCATCCACATGTTTATATGACCAAACAAAAGGACTCGTCACAAGTTTTAGGTACAGTTTGTTAACCTCTTTTACTTGTAAAAATGATACAATCCTCCCCATAAATGAGGAACCATCCATCCAAGGCCACACAACAATCGTTTTCGTTTTGCAATGAGAGTTGTAATACGTTGAAATAAGGCTCACGCAAACTTTAACAAAACGTGAAGCGAATATTGAAAATTGTACAATATGATTTTGACATAACAAGTTATATTAATTAGGTCATGTGGAGTCTCTGTCAAATTAAGTTGATATATACAAAAGTTAAAACCAAACTTAGTGAATATGAAAGAGACATGCTTTTTCTCCAACCACAATAAAAGTGACAAAATAGTTTTTTCTTCTTTTTTAAAGTACGACGCCTTTGTCTCCACAAATATTGAAATCAAGAGTGTTGTTTGGTTTTATACAAGTGGTTTGGTTCATGCTTAAGAGATTTTTTAACTTTTTGGTTTCAATCATTCATCTTGTAGCCTATCTATTGACAAAGAAAGTATGAATTCTATAATTGTTTGATCAACTCTATAATCCCAAGTTGGATTAGTGATTGAATGCAAGTTGATATTTCAACTCTGTAAAACTGTCTCTTATTGGAATTTGAGTTGTTTGATTTAAGAAATAAAAACATTCCATTCATCTAATAGGACACATAATAATAAACAAATTAAAAGGAAATCGGGGAAAAAATGTTCTTGAAATCTAGTTATAAAAGCTAAACTGGTTAAATGTCATAGATGTTTCGGGAGAAAATAGATTATCAACTATCCGTATGTAGTCCAATAAGTGTGCTAAATTATCACACCAGAAAAATGTTTGTCTTTACTTGATAGTCCAATAAGTGTGTGCCAAATTATAAACTTGAGTCCTTTCGTCTCAATCATCTATTATTAACTTCCGAAGTTGTATATCTATATCGTTTATGTCAGATTCAAATATTCATCAATTCATAAATATTTTTAAATAAATTAATTCAGGCAAATCATCCTTAGTTTTCTTTTCTGAAGTCTCAACGTTTTAAAGGTCTAATACTGACCATATTTAATACTCTCTCCGTTTCAGAATATTTATAGTTTTAAGTGTTATTTTAGAGTTTTCATCAGAAATACTAATACTTATGTAGATAAAATTAGAAACTTCGATTAAATACTTTTAACAAATATATATATAAAGAAAAAGAGGGCCATGGGTGGAACGTGAAGCAGAATGTTCACGTGAAATCAATACCTCATTTCGCAAACTATTCGCGTTGGAAAATTTTGGCAGCAAAGCCCACGTGGTTCACTTTAAATTGTTTTTCTATTTTAGTTTTAATAGTATAACAATGATGTGGAGTATTACTCAGTACAGTAGCTAGATATTTCAAAATGAAAATGAAGAAAGTGCATTAGTATTAGTTTCGATACTATATAAATTCGTTACCATTTATAACAATCCTTGAATACCATATACTTTCTCTCTACTGTGGAACAAAAGAAAAAAGAAACGTGACAATCAATATAATGCGTCTCCACAAACATTTATCTTGAGGAATAATTATTCGAATACAATATGAAACAACATCTTCCACGAATCATGTGCCGTGTGGTCCAAGTGAGAAGAACTCAAATTATATATTTTAATCGGATATTTATTTCTTATTTGACACCTGTATACGCCTAATCGATCTCGTATACTTCTAAGTATTGGCCTATGTATTGGGTTGATCATCACACGGGTTCTTGACAAGCTCGGTCGTTTCGTCGTATGTGTTAACATTATTTATAAATAAATATGGGCCCGTAAAAATGTTGTTCATACAAGACAAAACATGTGAAGCTACCTAATCTGTATTTTTCTTGCCTATCTTGAACTCGAAGTAAGAAAAAAAATAAACAATACAAGTTTAACAAGAGCATGCAATCGATTTAGATAAATCCTTAGGCGCGTCAGTTAAAATCAATCAAGGTAGTTTATTACATGCGCACGATACGATTACTCGAAAATTGGTTTTGAATTCTGTTTGTTAATAGTATCATGTTACTAAAGACATGAGCGTTATAGTGTATATCATCAGTGTTATGTGCAAATATATAATCAAGTTGACAGCGGACTAATTTATAAGAGCATTTTCAAATGGAAAGTTTTTAATATTATTTTTTCAATTCAAATGTATTTAGATATAAATATATAAAATATTAATATTTAGTTATGAATATTTATCATAATAATTTATAATATTATTTCTATAATTTTATGAAACTTTTAATGAGAGTGTTCTCACATACTTCCTTCACTTATCAGTGATATCATCAATTACGAAGTTTTATATTATTGTTTGATGTATGGTCAAAATTATAAAAAAAAATTGATAAATCTTATTGATTGATTCGGTCTGTCTTGAATAAAACACACTTAATGATATCTAGTGGATTAGTCTTAAAAATGTACCATACTATCTGATCTAGAATATCTTCTGACTAATATCAAAGAATAAACCAATTATCTGTTACAACCTGATATGTTAATTATTTGAACTGAATCTAAATCAAATTTGGTCAAGAAGTGATAACTTAATTCTTAATCGAATCTATGATTGATATGAATACACATGAAGATGAAAAGATATAAATTTGTTTCAGAGTCCTAATAAGTTCATGTTAGAAACGTGAGGGCTCGAGTTAGTTAGTGTCAACTATAAAAATGATCCTAAAATAGAAGTTGATTGTTAGCAACTTAACCAGTCATACTTACTATCAATCGTTAATACACCATCGTAATCACAAAGTCTTTAATTAAGTTTTGTTGACCTAAAAGGAAAAAAAATCCATATCCAAGAGAGAAACCAAATACGTAGAACACTCTCACGTTACGCTTGACACATATATAGGTTTATGTGTACATTTTCATATAAGAGACTGTATAATAGAGTCAGGCCTGAATAGAGTCTCGTTTAGTTTGACCAAAAAAAAAGTCTCGTTTAGTTTAGTTTTCCTTAGCTTATATATCAACAACAAAAAAAACCAACAATTTTCTACACCATCGACCCGATCGACCGTGTAGATTAAAATATTATTTTCTTATATTTTTCCACCATGCAGTAGATCCAACAACTTATGATTTTTGAGGGTAATATGTTAAGAACAATTAAGATTATACATTAGACTTTGGGGGTTTGATATAGTACACATGGCAGGTCCATGCATGCCACAAGCAAAGAAACCAACCGCTTAGGATCCAAAACATTTGCGGACAATTTTAAACTCAAAATTATTTAATTCTTTTTTACAAATTTGTTAGTGAGAAGGAAACATTTTTCTAAATTTGAGTAGGGTTTTACTTAGTATTAGACTGTCCCTGATAGTACATTTATATTACCGTACAATTGATATGCATATTATACAAACACAAAGAATAGATCCCTTAATTATTATTATCCACCAATATTCAGTACATATATGTAAGCGGAACCCTAAGACCACCTACAATGGGAGTGTTGAAGTGAGTTTCAACTGTTGAAAAATTTACAATCTGGATGTTGAAATATTGTGTTTATCTATGTGGATTCAACACCTGTTGGTAAGTTTCAACATGTTGATAAATTTTTATGTGGGCTACCTTTGCCACTTGGGGTAAATTATATGATATTTTTATTTTAAACAATAAAAGTTATATCAAAATTCATAACTTTTTACCATCTATAAATAAAGACTACTCTCATATTATTTGGACACAGAATAAACGTCATTTTTTCTATAATTAATTATTTTAATGTTTTAAACTTTTTTTGTTAAATAAATCCTGATAATAACTTTTTAAAAATTCAACATTCTTTTTATTTAAAGTTACATTATTTTAGTTTTAAAGTTAATTAGAACTAAAAACATTATTTACATATAGTTATTATATTATAAAGATAAAAAGATAAATTAAAAGTGGTGGGATGAGATATTAAATTTTTTAAACAAACTATTGTAGAGGTTAAAAACGAAGAGAGTGTTAATAAATTATGAGAAAAACAAATACTAAGTGGACCCAACCTAAAGAGACCAATTTCCATGAGCCTTGCTTAACCATTTGATATTTGTTATCTGCTTTCCTTCGAAAGCAATATGAAACCACATGTGGTTAATAACAGTCTATCTCTTACCCAAACTAAGACAAGACTGAATATCCTTGCAATACTATTATTTAGTTTTTTGGTTTAGTTTTTATTTAATGGATGGCAGGATGTTTGATCAATAAATATCACGAAACAAAAAAAAAAATCAGAACGTTTTGTAACAAAACAACTATAATTGTCTCCAACTTTCTTCCAACCAGATTGAAGCATAGACGTGTGGGTAAGGTTGAACTTCGTTGTTGTTATGATTTTTGATATTATGGATGGAAGCATATGGTAAAAGGAAACGTATTAAGGCAAACAATCATTAACTGTAATGAATAATTGCAAATCTTTAAAACAGTTTACTATGATAAGTTTGAAATCTATTTCTAAGTTCTGATCGAGAATGACTTATAACTACTGCTTTTAAATCAACTTGAACAATTTTTTTATAAATATATTCGTAAAAGAGAACATTATGAATAGATAGACTTAATGTACACTTGCCCTCTTTTGTTATATATAGCGACCCAACATCACTTATTATCTTCATTAACCTTCTGTGTTAGAAAGAGACATATAGAGAGAAATGGAAATAATGCGAGTTCTTCACATGAACAAAGGAAATGGTGAAACAAGTTATGCCAAAAACTCCATCGTTCAGGTTGGATTTTTATATCCAAAACATCTTCATAAAATATAGTCTTATGTACACATATATCATATAACCATCTATATATTTTTTATTCATTTTGGTTCTGGCTTGACCTAAGAATATAATGACAAATGTGTACTTTGTTTATGTACCTCGCAGAGTAACATAATATCTCTAGGCAGAAGAGTAATGGACGAGGCCTTGAAGAAGCTAATTATGAGCAATCCAGAAATTTCGAGCCTTGGAATCGCCGACTTAGGCTGCTCTTCCGGTCCAAATAGTCTCTTGTCTATCTCCAACATCGTAGACACAATCCAAAACGTGTGTCTTGACCTTGACCGTCCTGTCCCTGAGCTCACAGTGTCTCTTAACGACCTCCCTAGCAACGACTTCAACTACATATTTGCTTCTTTGCCGGAGTTTTACGACCGGCTTAAGAAAGGAGACAATAATAATAAGGATTGTTTAGGAAGACAGTGTTTTGTGTCGGCGGTTCCTGGCTCTTTCTACGGACGTTTGTTTCCACGCCAGAGCCTTCACTTTGTTCATTCTTCTTCTAGTCTACACTGGTTGTCTCAGGTGTGTTTTATGTTTCTTTAATAATGTTTTTCCAAAAATTTAATACCATATTCCAACTTGCATTTTGATAATGAATAATTAAATAGGAATACTTTTATGAACTATTTATTTATTAAATGTATTTTAATAAAATATGTTTCGCCATCGTTCATAATTTTGATATACAAGGAGTTTGTGATAATGACGATATATTTCATGAATAAGTGTTGTTTATACAGTACCAATAAAATATTTACGCAAGTAATATACCTTTTATTAAGGGAAATTTAGTGCGTGGGAATCTTTCTTATTGGAGAAAATCAAATCAAAACAAAACAAACAAAAAAAAAGAATTCGGAAAACCTAGTGGTGCACACATACAACACATATCACATATCACACTAGAAAATGCCAGTGTGGTCCACATAGTTGTTTCATTTCATCAAAATATCACACATTGTATGGAAAATAGTACATGCTAGCAAATTAAATGATCAACCTATACAGGTTCCATGTGGTGAGGTGAGCAAGGAAAATGGGGTGGTCATAACAGCTGATTTTGACAACAAAGGGAAAATATACATATCCAAGACAAGTCCGAAGAGTGCACAGAAAGCCTATGCTCTTCAATTCCAAACCGATTTCTCGGTGTTTCTGAGATCGCGATCTGAGGAGTTGGTTCCTGGAGGCCGAATGATTTTATCGTTAGTTGGTAGAAGCTCACAGGATCCTACAACCGAAGAGAGTTGCTATCAGTGGGAACTCCTAGCTCAAGCTCTAATGTCCATGGCCAATGAGGTATAGTGTTGCTTGTTTACAGTTAGAACCAACATGAAAAGTCTCTTAGGGCTCCATATGTATATGGGCCATATTAACACCTCCATAGGGATCTGACCGTGGCACGTTACAATTGACCAGTTAAAATCCTACTAATGTGGGATGTGGCCCCAATGTGTTCTTTCCACATTTGTTTGAGTTTTCTCGAATGATTTAGCTTACAAGTGAAGGACAACTTATACATATAATATACACAGTTTTGATACCATATAAGTTTTGTTTGTAGTGCTGAACAGTAGCTCAACCGGAATGCTCCCCAAAATCTAGGGAAAATACATACAAATTATTGTAGAAAATCAATTAGATATATAGTTAAGAAACCCGATGACAAAAAACCATTTTATATACTCAATTATGTATTGTAGCCTAGAATTTTCTCTAAAACCATTCAATATTTCCTAGACCTTTTGGATATTTGATCAAACTAACGCTAATCTTGGTCTGCTCCAACAAGATCTGGAATCTGAATTATTGGAACAATAGATAAGAGCCCAGCCATAAGAATATTAGATCAGTAGATAATAGAACCGGATAAAGTTTAGTACTCAATAAGTAGAATCTAAAAGTTTCTTTCTCTTATGTTCTTCATGTAAAGGGTATCATCAAAGAAAAGAATATCGATGCTTTCAATGCTCCTTACTATGCTGCGAGCTCCGAAGAGATTAAAATGGCGATTGAGAAAGAAGGTTCTTTTTCGATTGATCGACTTGAGATAAGTCGGGTTAATTGGGAAGGAGAGAGTGTCAGCGAGGAAAACTATGACATAGTACGCTCCAAACCAGAAGCCGAAGCTAGTGGACGAAGAGTGGCTAAGACAATTCGAGCTGTAGTGGAGCCGATGCTAGAACCTACATTTGGTCATAATGTGATGGATGAACTCTTTGAAAGGTATGCAAAGATAGTAGGAGAATACTCATATGTGAGCTCGCCTCGATACGCTATTGTTATTGTTTCACTCGTAAGGATTAGTTGATCATGTTATAAACTATGCTTTTTACATGTCTTTGGACCTATACGGACATGATTCGTACTTTTTAATTATTGAAGTATATATATATATATGTAATGTTATTTGCTTCAATAATAAAATATAAAAAAAAGAAGTGTGGTTTACTCGAAGACTATAAGTAACATGTGTTTTCTTTGAATCTTCTTCAAGTGTCACGTGTTTTCTTCTTTTGTTCTGTTGCAAATTGTAGCCCCAATGACAAAACCATAACCTTTAGATTTGGGTTATAGAAGAAAAAAACCTTGCTTGTGCCTAGCAGTCACCAATATATATGACTAGTGGTAAAATCTATAATAAGAGGCCGCCTCGCAATTTTGCTCTTCTTTGATCTTCGTGAATTCAGCGGGGCAATAACTTATTTGATAGAGCTACAACAACTAACAACTAACTAGTGATAGCTGCATTCAGATCATGAGCACAAACAAAAGCTTTACTCTTGAATAGTTTAACTATCCATGTTTCGCCTCTAAATACCAACTAGCGTCTCAATCTATCTTCATGTTAAAGGCCTAGTTTCACTTTGTGTTCAGCTAAAAGGAGTAATAACATTACTCTGTTTACATGCTTCCTGAAGGAAATAACACTAATCTTTTAGGCCCAGTAGCCCAAAACTGATCCTCGTGATCCATCCACAGAGAAACTTAAACCCCAAACTCTTTTTGAAACACCAAATGTTCTAGCTTTTGAAACGGAATTTGAACTACGGCTTTGTATGGTAGTATAATTTTCCAGGCGAAAAGAATCAAAGTCTAAATGAACCATAAAGCTACTTTACAAGTTACACTTGACCGATACAGTCATATATGGATTATTATTCAGTTAGTAATAATATCAATCACGACATATTGTATTTAATTAGAGTTAGTCATGATAACCTTACCGACGGTTCAACACAAAACACGTGGAAAAGATGAAACATGTCCTTCTCAAAACGCTAGCAAATAATGGAATATTAGTTAGGTCGAAGCACTAAAAGAAAGAAAGAAAGAACGAAAGAAAGAGAGTGTTCTGTTTAAAACCACTGCTTAACTCAATCATTCTTCCATCACTTGCAAAAAGAAAAAAAAAGAAGTTAAAGATGGCTCTCGAAGTCTGCGTGAAAGCCGCCGTTGGTGCCCCTGATGCTCTCGGCGACTGTAAATCTCTCTCTGTCTCTAATTATATTATGCATAAAGCTTTGACTTTTGCAAATTCCAGAGTTTTTGATCTTTGAATTTAAAAATTGTCTAAATATAAGTGTTTTGTCGTTTCAGGCCCGTTCAGCCAACGGGTCCTTCTCACCCTGGAGGAGAAGAACCAGCCCTACAAGATCCATCTCATTAACCTCTCCGACAAACCTCAGTGGTCTCTTTCTCTCACTCTTCCAACTTGTTTCACTTGTTCCTCTCTTCTTTGAGAGTTTATGTCATATATCACCGGATGTGTTGAGCTTTGTTTTAGTTTATATAACTTACTGATGTAGGTTCTTAGACATTAATCCTCAAGGGAAAGTACCTGTGCTTAAGATCGACGACAAGTGGGTACCTGATTCCGACATCATCGTCACTATTCTCGACGACAAGTATCCAAACCCATCTCTCAAGACTCCTCCTCAGTTTGCCTCCGTTGGATCCAACATCTTCAGCACTTTCGTGAGTTTCCTCAAGAGCAAAGACTCCAATGACGGAACCGAACAGGCCTTGCTTGTTGAGCTAGAAGCTCTGGAGGATCATCTCAAGTCTCATGATGGTCCTTTCATCGCTGGTGAGAGAGTCACTGAGGTGGATCTAAGCTTAGCACCCAAGCTTCATTATCTCAAGGTCGCTCTTGGCCATTTCAAAAGCTGGTCTGTCCCTGGGAGCTTGTCCCATGTTAATGGCTACATGAAAGCTTTGTTCTCTCTTGACTCCTTTGAGAAGACAAAGACTGAGGAGAAGTATGTTATCTCTGGATGGGCTCCCAAGGTCAACCCTTGAAAGAACTAGCTCAAGAGTGTCTTCAGTAAGAAAATAATGTTATTGGACTTGTATTGTATCGATGAAAGATTTCCTAAATTCCAAGGATAGCCATGTTAAACAAACTTCTTCTGAACACTTTATGCCTCTTGTTTCCATGTCTCTCACTAACCTTCCACCTAATTTAGGTTTGCCAGTGTTTACATAGCCCATGATCATGGATGTGTAGATCTTCTTGTCTGGCATTAAAACGTAGCTCTTCAAGCTTTCAAATGCCTCTGTTGCTCGCTCAAGATTGTCTGATTTACTGTATATTTGAATCAATATAGTGGCAGTCGAAATGTCTGGAAAGATCCCATTTTGGGACATTTTCTTTAGAATTCTCTCAACATCTTCAGTGTGGTTCTCTTTGGAATGGAAATGTATTGAGTTTTGAGTAGTCTGAGATACTTGCCTTGAATGATTTCTCATCCAAGACAAGTTATGCCACCTATTGAAACATCAAAACCATCACCAAATGATCAAAACAAGCACATGATACTCAAGTACCACCCATCTTGATATAACAAACAACCTAGGCTATCAAAAGAAACAGCAAACCTATGACATCTCTCCAAGACCATAACATTCAAGTCTAACCTTTGAGAGTATGCAAAAGTGTTGAGGCTCCAATAACTCAACAAACAACCCTCAAGGATGATCTTTTTTTTCCTCCAAAAAACCAGGCTTCTCCACAACCAACTTGCATTTTCAGTTAAGGTTTAGCTACTCTCCAATCAGCTTCATGAATCTTATCGATAATTGTAAAATGCCATGGAATGCTTGTCGAGAGAAGAGTAGATATTTATTTTTTCTCCGAGAATTGGAATAGAGAAAGGTAGAAGGAAGAGTCTAGGTAAAAACCGTAAACCTTAGCTTAAGTATTGAGTGAGGATTAGGAAGGAAGAAAAAAGGTAAAGATCACAGAAATGGAATTCGAATTAAGGCTTTGCCTTGCTGTTTTCTCTTCATTATTGGGGTTTCATAAAGAACCCTCAACTTTATGAATAATACTCAAATCATCTTGTATATCTAAAAAAGTTATGTTTCGACCCTTTGCTATGCTCATCTAGTCATCTCTCTGAACTCTGATCAAAATCATTTCTCCTAACAAAAAAAAAACATTTACTATATACGTCAAAAAGATTTTTGAAAACAAAACTTGTGCATTTCTGAATATTTTTTTATTGTCGTTCCAAATTTATAACTAAAGCTTGTAGTGATAGTGTGTTAGTGGTGGGATTGTTCGGATTGCTGTTCCAAAACTATTTCACCAAGTAGTGAGAGACCTTGTAGTAATTCTCTAATATGCTACATTGAGATTAATACATTAGAAACAAAGATAATATGATTAAGGTGCAGCTAAAGCAGTGATGTCAGTCTTTCATTCCTCTGTTTGTTTATGCGGAATGGGAAAATGTTGCTAGAAGTCTCGTTAGGCCTTTGCTAGTTCCTCTTCTTGTTTGGTTTGTTGTTCCAGCGAGCGTGGAGGGTGGCTCGTACTCCTGCGTCTGTAGCTCCTGTCAGTCTAGAATATCTCTTCTCTTTGAGCTCCGGTTTAGAATGTTTAATAAATTATTATTATTAAAAAAAAATTAATGGTTAACCAACACTACATATTAATATATTTTTATTTCAAAAAACACATGGTTCTCCTCATTAAGAACATGTTCAGATTATCTGCTCCTGATGGTTTCGAGCTCGAATTCATCTATTAAGCAAAAGAAAATGAAAATGCTAAGAAACCTTTTATCAAGGAAATTCTCAAGACAATATCTAATGTTGTCAACGAATTGAAGTAACCTCTTCAGCTTTCATGACATAGTCATGTCGTTTGTCCCAGTATTCATTCACTTTAGCATATAAACTCGTTGTTCTCCAATTCTTATTTTTGTTCTTGCTAATTGATAATTTGGGATGTATCTTCATATCTGGCATCTCATAAAGCATGCACACCGTGGCCAGTCCCAATTGCTTAAAGAACTTATGAGGGAAATTATATGCGACCACATTAAAGCAAATACAAGCTGTGCATGAGTATATCATATAAATATGATCTTTGTACTCATCAGGCAATTCAAGGTTACGGCTAAAAAATTTATAAGGTTGCCATATGTAACCTATGATTATATAATCAAGTACTGAGTTTACAACAAGAATTATAACCATATATTGGCAGTTTATATAGTCTTAAAGAAACATTACCTGATCTTCCAGCATGTTTTCAAGCTTGTTTTGGAAATTATTCACATCAATGTTCTTATCATCTCCTTTAGGAAATAGATTTAACCACCCCGAAAGCAGAGGAAGCCCAGAAAATAGAGAATTAATACATATTGCTTCGCGTAAGCAGGGAAACCGTTCCACTGCAAATATCAACAAAGAAAAAAAATAAAAAACACATGTCAGTAAACATTATTATGTAACAAAGTGACTGGTTTAAAAATTAACAACACAACTCAGTGGAGAAAATGAGTTGACTGGTTTCCAAATAAGAAACTAATACACAACTAGATGACAACAAAGTGATAACATTACACCCTAAACCGATAATCTAAAAACATTCAAATGTTATATATGTTTATAAAAATTTTGCATAGTTATATGATAAATATGTTTGTTGTCTAATAACAAACTTTTCATAAACATACCTTTGAAAATTGAGATCCCAGGATGAATTATTTTTTAGGTAAAGGTTAATTGAAAATTTTCTGTAGTATTTATATATAAGAACATGGGTCCATATATATAAATAAGACATATTTTGTAATAGCTATCAAGATAAATTCAAATTTTCGTTTAGAAAAAATAAATAAATACAAAATGATAAGAATCAATGCAGAAAAGGATATTGGAATTTTATCCCCAAATGAGATGATAATATCCCTTATGGTGTTATTCCTTTTCAGCAAATTATAAGTGGCTCTTATTTAAATAGTTGTCGTCCAAAATTGGTTTTCTCCATCACACGAGATAAGTTATTAGATTACGAAGTGGCCTGTCGATAACAAAAAAAAAAAAGATTCAAAGTGGCCCAAAATTATTATAGATCCATTTCAAGTAACTATTCTTGTACATAATAACATATATATTATATAGAAGATATCAGAAATCTCCATGGAGTTTGGTATATGAGATGACATATTGAATTCGTAATCCAATTTTCAAAATTTATATATCAAAAAAAAATTTATTCTTTTTTTCACATCAAACAATGATTGTATTAGCTATCTATCATGTGAATACGATATTATAATTAAATCTAGCAGAGAAGATTTTATAGTTTCTCTTATCAGCACATCTTTATAGTGCATTATAGCTAAGGTGAATCTGATTCATTGGAGTGTAACAGACGGGATGGGTTCTTATTACTTGTTCAGTCTTTCGTTTCTCTGAATATACCACCATCTTCGTACGTTTTCTATTTATTTTTCAATAATTCCTTTACTGCACACTATACCACTAATATAACAATTTAATCTGCTGGCTAATGCATTGTGAAACACAACACCAGATTAATATATAGTTTCTTGTAATATTCCGAGAGAGAAGAACATAACGATTTTCATATAGCATATTTAGGATATTTTTTTTGTAACTGATGTTTAGGATAATTATACTCTCCCAATTCATAGACTTCAACAGATAATAATGAAAATGTTAAATCAAATAGTTTAACTTTAATAGATAGATGAGGGTTTAACAAACATGGAAAACTAAATAAAGTTTTATTTGATAGTTTATCTAGAATTCTTGATTACTTTTCTCTTATCATGAATGATATAAGCATATAAAAATATGATGATTACTCTTTGAAAATGAAAGAACTAGTATATGTACCATTAAACATAGTAACATACCAACTTTCTTTACTACTGATTCAACGAAATACCTTAGAAAAGAGCTGCTAAGTTCAGATTTTACTAAAACACTACTATATGAACGGTTGACTTCTCGATACTATTGTCACAAAGAATCATATGGACCCAAACAACGTAGACCCATTAGAACATTATACTTTTTTTTCCTATATCTAACTTGGGCATTTTTTTGGGATAAATACAACTTGCGGGAATCTCATCTCAGCTCTCTTTTTCCTCCATATAAGGAGCCTATCTTGGCATTCGTTTGTATTCGTAACTTAGCATCGATCCCTTTTCTTTCTCTTAAATTGTTATATATCTAACTTTTTTCCTAAAAGAAGCTTAAATAATCCAAGCATGGCCTCAAGTTCTATGAGCTCGTCTTGGACGTCTAAACAAAACAAGATGTTCGAGAGGGCTTTAGCCGTTTATGATAAAGACACTCCAGACCGTTGGCAAAACGTGGCCAAAGCCGTCGGGAATAAATCGGCAGAAGAAGTAAAACGTCACTACGACATTCTCGTTGAAGATCTCATGAACATCGAGCAAGACTTAGTCCCTTTGCCTAAATACAAGACCGTCGATGTTGGAAGTAAATCAAGAGGCATTAATGATTACGATTTGAGGTAAAATCTTTGTCTCGTTTTAGAACATATCTTTTAGAATCTGTAGTTGTTTTTTTGTGTGTGAATTTTCTGTGGCTAAGACTGAATCTATAGATACTACTACATTCGTTTTGATTTCTATTATGAATAAGTCGAATAAATGTTTGGTGAAAAAAGTTAATTACTTTTGTGGTGAAATTCAAAATTTAACATTGGCGATAACGTATAATAACAGTAACATCTTATTATTTTATAATAGCTAGAATAATAAGAAACATGCAACCACACGCACCATCCCTTATATTTTTTTCATTCATTCTCGTTAATAGTCACATGAAATATAATCTTCCTTGTACATCATCACATGTACATTGTCTTCCATTGAATTGAAACTTATATATTATGATAAGATAATGCATGTATCTAGTTTTATCATACTCGAATATGATATCTACATAAATATGTAATAGTATTATATATATAAAAGTGATTCTAATTCTGTACTGGTCGGTGATCCACAAAATTGTTACTTTCAAAACGCTTTTGTTAAACAAATCCTCAAGATATATAGCAATCGATTGTTTTATTAATATACTCTATTGATTTTCTGTACAGGTTAATGAAGAATATGAGGATCCAGTGAAGTAATTACATTGAAGCAATATTGCTATAAAAGATTCAGAGGGATATATTTTCTTCTCGCACACTGATGATCATTGATCAGTACCTATATTTTCATTGTGCCACTTCACTACTTATTTAATCTTGTTTTCTCATCAAATGAGCCAAATCGTGTTGCTGTTGTGGTTTTTGTTTCTAGTTATTGATTATTATATATTTTTGCCAGTCTTTTGTGTTTGATTTTCGATGGTTTTACTTTTAGCTATCAATATAAACGGGCTTATTACAATACATCGAGAGGTGGTCTCTAGTTTTTCACGTAATAAAACATGCAGTGTACTAAAAAGTGAGAAACTGTTGAGAGCAAAAACAAAACTATTTATTCAATCTTCGATCTGTAAAATATGAATATATAACCCAATGTCTTTAAAGTTTAAATAAAATGCATGAGCTTGATCAACTACTGTAATTGACTAATCCATGATGCGAGTGTTTAAAGTTGATGGGCCAAATAGTTATTCGGCCCATTTATAATGACTATAATACACAGCCCAAATAAATGTTCATCTTCATGATTCATCATCATCAACAAGGTCTCTAGACCAAAATGATTGTGTGTTGGTGGATGCACCAAAAAAGCTCAACCGTAAGATGCAGACCAGTTATGAACCACTTAATCTCATGGCTCATAGACCGCCACGTAAAGAACCAATAAACACATTACAAGTGTCGAGATCTTAGCTACTCAAACCGACCTTTCACCTTAAACTCCGCGCCTCTTCCCATTGTCCTGAGATATGACGACGGGTCCCAAATCTCGGCTTCACACGCACGCCTCACTCGGCACGTGCCGGTGTTGCTGACTTGGTGCGAAGACGAGAACGTGGCGGGCAGAGATACATGAAGCTATTGTTAAGCACCAATTGTAGACGATGAGTTGGCACGACACGTGTCGTCTTCTCACCATCGGTGGGCCCCTTTCTCTCATTCTGCACTACTACTACTAGTCTTCGAAGAGTTGCACAGTTTCTCTCTATCTCTCTCTCTCAATGGAAGTGGAGGTTAATGCGAGGTGTTGTTCGTCGTCCGGTGAAGATGCGGCGGCGAACATGACGGAGCTAGAGGCGGCGGAGGCATTGGCGGATTTGGCGGAGCTTGCGATAATGAGAGAGCAGGTTTTCGAATCCGCGGCGAGCTGGGGAAGCAAAGGGAAACGGAAGCGAGTTAAGACCGAGTCTCCTCCGTGTGACTCGGAGTTGAAACGGGATGACTCGGAAACGTTTTCTACACCGGATCTAGCTGAGGTTCTCGTCTCTTCGCTTTTCTCATTTCTATAATAGATTTACTGGTAGCTAGACAATATAGTTGTTATTACACTGATTAGATTACTAGACATATGTCTAGTTGTTTGCTGAAAATCGTTAAAAAACATAGTTCATGTCCCGACCAAAGCAAAAAAAAAAGTTAAGAAAGATGTTAATGTTCCGACGAAAGCACACAAATAAGTTTAAGAAAGATGGTTTTTATTTGTACAGGAACGAGTAGTGAAAGGAGAAGAAGAAGAAGAAGACGAAGAAGTTCATACGGTTACTACAGAACTGACTATAGTTCCGGTTAAGGCTGAAACGAATGGTGAAACACCTAAACCGAATCTGGCTCCGACACTAAGGTGTAATAGATCAAGTGGCTGTGGTCGGTCAAGGCAGAATTTAAGTGAGGTATTGTAATAGTTTTCTCCTTTTTTTTTTAATTTTCTTTTGTGTTGACTCTTTTATTTGAAACTTATGAGTTATGCTGCTACTACTCTTTAGGCTGAGAGAGAAGAACGTAGAATTAGAAGGATATTAGCTAACAGAGAATCCGCCAGGCAGACAATTCGCCGAAGACAGGTATAGTTAGACTGAGTTTGGCTATGCTTAGATCTTTTGCGTCTTGCAATAAGAAACTAGTTGTGTTAAGTGTTTACTTCTGTAATTATATACAGGCAATGTGCGAGGAGTTGAGTAGAAAGGCAGCTGATCTAACATATGAGAATGAGAATCTGAGAAGGGTATGCAAACACCGTTCAATAGTGAGACTGTTGTTATAAATGCTAATGACATTTCTTGTGGCAGGAAAAAGATTGGGCCATAAAAGAGTTTAAGTCTTTGGAGAGTATTAACAAGCTTTTAAAAGAACAGGTCACACTGTCTTATCAATCACCATATATCAGTATCACTATTCCATGTATCTCATGTGCCATCTGATTTTTCTTACAGGTATCAAAATCGGTAAAACATGAGACAAAAGAACCTGAAGAATCAACCAAGCCATCTCAAGTTGAGATGTCTACATCAACATCTACACCCTTATACTTCTACAACCAGAGTCAATATCAGCTTTTCTGCTGGCCTCATGTCACTCAATCATCAGTTCCAATCGTCTCACCACTTGAAACCCAAAACGGCTTCACAGCACCATTCACCGCCTCTGGAGGAGCTTCTGCTAAAACTGTGACCTCGCAGGAGAATGGAAATCATGCAGATGACACTGGGCAGAAAACTCATTTTTACGTGGTGCCCTGCCCTTTGTTTCTCCGTGCTCCTGATCACAGCAATAGTGTTCCCTTCGCGTTTCAAGATCCGCAAAAAGATGATTCTTCTGCAAAACCTGTTGAGGTCTCAAAAAGTTTGCAGTCTCATGTACCAACTAGCATCAAAGAAGAGGAATCTGGTTCAACCGAAACAACCAGACCTTTGTATGACCTCAATGAATCTGCAACTGAAACCCTCTCAGAAGGAGATGTTGCTCCTGTAACAACGCAACAAGCTTTTAGTTTTAAGCATGAAGATGTTTCTGATTCACCTAATGGAGTCACCACTATGTCGCATGGCCATAATCTTTTGATTTCTCTAAAGAAGCAAGGCTCTTTGGCTGCAGCAGAAGCTAGAAAGAGAAGGAAAGAACTAACAAGGCTCAAGAACTTCCACGGCCGTCAATGTCGGATGAAAGTATGACAACATTACAACATAATAGGTTCATCATCTTACCACTAAAGCTACTCCATGATCCCTTTTGTTTTTGTCCGGGGCATTTTTTTCAATTTGTTTCGGCTTTTCTTTATCAAACAACAAAGTCAGAGAGTTCATACTGATCCAACAAAACAAAGTTGGGTTATTATTATTACACACATCCAAGATTAGTGTTTTCTTTTTTCGAGTTTTGTTTTTTTACAAGGCGAGAGCAAATGTTGTACTATTGCTAGATTTAGGGTTTATTTTGGCCTAAAATGCCATTTTGTAAGATCATACATCTTCTGTTTTGCTTCTCAGTGGAAATTACGGTTCTGACTTCGATCAGTTTGTATAACATTATGTTCCCTTTTTGACAACAAGGAATATACTCTCTCATACTCTTAACTCTAACCCTAGGTTTAGTAGATACGACACCGTTTTTTCAATTCTACGTTCTCCGTGTCTTGTTCCCTGAATCTTCAATAGATTCATCCTCGAAATGATGATGATGACTAAGGTTCGTTTGATAGAGTGAGGAAGAAGAAGAAAGAACGGTTCTGGTTTTGGATTTTGATTCAATAACTAAACCGGATTATCAAAACCGAAATCATTTACTATAAACCAGCGGTATATATATTATTGGTTTTGTTGTTTTCACTCGCTGGTCTTTTTCGGAAAATGTTGAAATACGTCAAAATCAAAAGAGGTTGTATCATGATAAGGGTAAGCTGTGTTGTTCACTCGCTCAAGTGAGAGTGGGGAACAATAAAATGTCATTTTGAACCCCTAAATTTTATTTTTTTCAAAAATTTTTTTTATCTATGTGATTAATACATAAAACACTAATGGTTACAAATTCTATATATCAGTTTTGGTGATTTTCAAATTTTTATATTTCTTGTTCTAGGAACAATGTTGCTAGACATCAAATAAATGGAGTTGAAGTAATTTCAAGTTGTAGATGAAACGGCATAGTTTTGAGATTGTAGGTACTCTGTACAAGAGAGATGCGTGTTGAAACTTTAGACTCTGCTTAAGATTCATCTTAATACACCAGTGTACTTGCTATCTCTGTGTTGCTAAACAGGTTTACAACAGCGGATAAGAGCTTTGACACGAGTGGACAATCAAGCGAGAAGAAAAGTATGAGTTGTGTGTTAGGCAACAATATACACAAAAACACTACATATGCGAGAGGCAAGTGAGCAGGATCGATCCATAGATGATGTTAGGAGTTTTCAAGGCTCCTAGTCAAATGTTGTATAGTGAAGTAAGTTGTCGAACCAGTTCTGAGGGATTTAAAAGCACCAAGAATGCAAGTACTAACTTAATCTAAGTGCAATCGAATGTTTGGTTGGTTTTGAAGTTAACTAAAACTAGAATGCAAATAACAAAAATGATACTTTTAAACTATTGGAAAGGAGAACTCATGGGTGTTGGGATTTAGACCTTGGGTGATCAGGTTTCGAACTAAGATGGCAAGCTATCAATTAAACTGTCTGCCTTAGG